GCCGCAGCATCTTCAGCAGTCGTCTTTGGATGGGCAGCTACTGGGGGCGAATCCGCCGCCGCCGCCGCCGCCGCCTCCGCCGCCGCCCCCGCCGCCCGCCGCCGCCGCCGCGCCAATCCTTCGAGCAGCACAGGAGAGCTCCAAAACGGCCCAAGACAGTCCCCATGGGGGCCCGAGGAGTCCACCGGAGGATCCCTGCATGGTCGGAGAGAGCCCCACGACGGGCCCCAAGACGGGCTCAGCTCCCCACGACGGGCCGAGACCGAAACGGGCCCCCAGACGGGCCAGAAAAGAGCCCAAAAGGACTCCAAAGGAAGGCCCGGAGAGGCCCCAGAGACCCGCACAATGCTTCCAACAAGATCCCGGGAGGCGTTCCAGCAGACCCCTTTATGAGCGTGTGGGAGGTCTCGTGTCTACGTCCTGTAAGATGCGGTTCGGGGCTTCCCGAGGCTCCACAGAAACATGCTGCGGGGCGCCGGGAAGTAACCCAAACACCCCGAACTCACGGTCGAGGTCAGAGGTGTACCGCCATGGGCGGGAGGGCGGCCTACGCACGTTGGCTTTCGGTTTGTTGGTGGAGCTCCTACTGAAACCCTTTCCGCGTGAGAAACTCTGTCGCCCTCTGCGGGCGTGATGGTACGCGAATCCTCCCACAAAGGGGCGCGTCCAACCGCGTCCTTCTGGCGCACAATCCGTGTGATGGGTGCGTTGTAATGGGCGGAGGAGGAGGAGGAGGAGGAGGAGGAGGAGGAGGAGAAGGAGGAGGATCAGGAAGACGAGGAGGAGGATCAGGAGGACGAGGAGGAGGATCAGGAGGACGAGGAGGAGGAGGATGAGGAGGGGTGTCAGAAAAGTTGCCCCAAGGATACCCGGTTTGTGTCAGCCACGCGTTCGTAACGACGTGGCTTTCTGATCCTTCGATATCGGGTCCTGCCATCACTGAGTCGCAGAAACACCAAAGTGTGAGTTCCAAGGTGGCCCAAGAGAGTCCCCAGGGGGCCCGAGGGGGCCACTGGAGGATCCCTACATGGTCGGAGAGGGCCCCAAGAGAGCCCTAAGACGGGCTCAGCTCTCTATGACGGGCCAAAACCGAGCCGGGACGGCCGAAACCGGCCCACTGACGGGCCAAAAAAGCTTCCAAAGGACTCCCAGAGAAGGCCCAGAGGGGTCCCAGAGACTCCCAAAATGCTTCCAAAAGGCTCCCGGGAGAAGTCCCAGTAGGCCGCCATGAGCGTGTGGGATGTCTCGTCTCTACGTGCAAGATCCATCCATTTCAGGGCTTCCCGAGGCTCCACAGAAACATGCTGCGGGGCGCCGGGAAGTAACCCAAACACCCCGAACTCACGGTGGAGGTCAGAGGTGTACCGCCATGGGCGGGAGGGCGGCCTACGCACGTTGATTTTCGGACTGCGCTGGAGTTTCCGCTGGGACACGATGCGCGTGAGAAACTCAGTCGCCCTGGGGGGGCGTGATGTTGCGCAAATCCTCCCACAGTGGGGCACGTGCAACCGCGTCCTTCTGGCGCAGAATCCGCGTCATGGCTGCGTTGAGATTGGCGGAGGGTCGCCGCCGTGGCCGGGCTCCTTGCTTCCCTGGGGGTTTCCCGGGGGTCTTCTCTCTGTCCTCTCCTCGTCGTCGTGGTAGTCGTGACAGGAGGAGGAGGAGGAGGAGGAGGAGGCGGAGGAGGAGGAGGAGGAGGAGGAGGAGCAGGAGCAGGAGCAGGAGCAGGAGCAGGAGCAGGAGCAGGAGCAGGAGCAGGAGCAGGAGCAGGAGCAGGAGCAGGAGGAGCACCGGAGGATCCCTACATGGTCGGAGAGGGCCCCAAGAGGGCCCCAAGACGGCCTCAGCCCCCCAAGACGGGCCAAGAGGGACTCGGGACGGCCGAAATGGGCCCCCGGACGGTCTGAAAAGGGCCTCAAAGGACTCCCAAGAGAGGCCCGAAGAGGTCCCAGAGACTTCCACAATGCTTCCAACAGGCTCCCAGGAGGCGTCCAAGAAGGCCCCAGAAGCGTACGGGAGGTCTCGCGTCTACGTCCTGCAAGATTACTGTCAGTGCTTTCAGAGGCCCCGCAGAAACATGCTGCGGGGCGCCGGGAAGCAACCAAGAGAGAAACAGAGAGAAAGGGATCTACATATACATATCTACACACACACATACATACATACATACATACATACATACATACATACATACATACATACATACATACATACATACATACATACATACATACATACATACATACATACACACATATAAATACATACATACATACATACATACATACATACATACATACATACATACATACATACATACATACATACACACACATACATACATACATGCATGCATGCATACATATATACATACATACATACACACATACACACATACACACATACACATAGTCACATACATACATGCACACATACATGCATGCATGCATACGTGCATACATGCATACATGCATACATGCATACATGCATACATGCATACATACATACATGCATGCATGCATGTATGCATGCATGCATGCAGACCGACCTACCGACCTACCTCCTACCTACCTACCTACCTACCTACCTACCTACCTACCTACCTACCTACCTACCTACCTACCTACCTTCCTACATGTATTCAGACATACATGCACACATACACACATACACACATGCATACATACAGTCATACCTACCTACCTACCTATCGACCTACCTACCTACCTACCTACCTATCTACATACATACACACAAACATACATACATACATACCTACATACATGTATGCATGCATGGACACAAGCATGATTATACATGGATGCATACATGTATGTATGTGTATGTATGTATGCATGTATGTATGTATGTATGTATGTATGTATGTATGTATGTATGTATGGATGGATGGATGGATGGATGGATGGATGGATGGATGGATGGATGGATGGATGGATGGATGGATGTATGTATGTATGTATGTATGTATGTGTGTGTATATATATATGTATATATATACACATATACATATATATATATATATATATGCCTGGGCACGAAGCGGGGGAGGTTGGGACGGGGCCCTCGACAGCTCAAGGCAGGACGTGGGGGCCCAAGGGCCCTGTCGGGGCGCTGGGTGCTCCTTGAGATCGTCCGAAGACGGCCCCTGATCGCAAGAAATGGCGCTTCCCTTCCACGGAAACGACGAATGACGGCCCGAGATTCCCAGAATTCGCCCCTGATTGTCCAAGAGGCCTCCAAGATGCCCCAAGATGCATCGAAGATGCCTCCCAAAGAACGCCAGGAGGCAAACATCGGTGATCTTCCTTTGGTTTTCGAAAGATGATCGGGTTCTCGCTTTTTCAGTTTCCCGACGCTCCACGACGGCCCAAGGGGCTCCAATATCCACTTCAAAACAGCCCAAGGGGACCCCAAGACGGTGCCAGAGGCGCCCAAGGCGGCCCGACAAGGCCCTAAGACGGCCCCGAGAGGGGGCCAAGAGGTGTAACACGAACCGAGAATCCGAGCTTTCCACCCCGAGAAGTTCTTAGAAAGCCTCCAGAGATCCCCAGTATAATCCAACACGCCCCCAAGAAGTTTCCAAGAGGGCCGAAGAGGTTCCAAGAGGCCTCCCAAGAAGTCCCCAATAGGTACAACTCATGGTTTTCCGATGGGATCATGACGGATTTCATACATGCTCAGCTTGTTGGCATCCCGACGCTCCAAGATGGCCCAAGAGGCCTCCAAACTCGTTCCAAGATAGCCGAAGAGACCTCTAAGAGGGCCCCAAATGCGGCCCACGAGGGCACCAAGACGGTGCTTGAGACGCCCAAGACGGCCCGAGAGGGCCCCAAGGCGGCCCCAAGAGGGGGCCAAAAAGGGGAACACGAACCGAAAGTCCGAGCCTTCCACCCCGAGAGGTTCTCGGGCAGCCCCAAAAGGCCCCCAACAGGATCCAAGCGGCCCCAAGAAGCTCCCAAGAGGGCCGAAGAGGTTCCAAGAGGCCTCCCAAGAAGTCCCCAAATTGTTTTCCGATGGGATCATGACGGATTTCATACATGCTCAGCCTTTTGGCATCCCGATGCTCCAAGATGGCCCAAGAGGCTTCCAATACCGCTCCAAGATAGAGGACGAAGCCTTCAAGAGGGCGGCTCCAAGATGGCGCACGAAGGTCCCAAGACGGTGCTTGAGGCGCCCAAGAGGGCCCGAGAGGGCCCCAAGGCAGCCCCAAGATAGGCCCAAGAAGGAAAGCGCGAACCCAACAGCAGAGCCTCCCCCCAAAAGGCCCACAGGAGGCTGCAAGAGGCCCCGAAGTGGTCCGGCGAGGACCCCAAAAGCTTCCCGAGGCCCCAAGAGGCCCCTAGGAGACGTCTAAGGTGCCCTAAGATAGCCCGACAGTGCCCTCGATGCGTCAAAACTGCCTCGAGGAGGCACCCGGGAAGCTTCCAGACTGCCTCACAATGTGGCCCCAGGTGGCCTCAAGTCGGGCCTCCACGCAGCCAGGACGGCCAATGACGGCTTCAGATTGCAGAACCAATTCGCCCAAGGGACCCCAAGAAGGCCCCCCAAGAAGCACCCAAGAGGTGCCTCCAACAGCCAATTGAGTAAGCATGCGGGACCCTCCCGAAGCTCCTCAGATGCTGTCGCGCGCCTGTGCTTGATAGCGCTGTCCAAGATCGTCCAGCGCCCCCCCTGGCCTGGGCTAGAATCTGAGCGCGCGCGAAGAGCGCGCGATGGTTCTAGTATGTATATATGTATACACACCTGTCGACAAGTGTACTCACATCCGTGTGCGCATGCACCTAGACCACACAACCTACCCGTCACGGAGTCCTGTTATCATCTGTCTATCGGCTTCAGTATCGGTCTACCGATATCATCATCCATCTGTTTGCCTGTATCACTACCAATGTTCCGGGACAACACTTATCTATCAGTCTCTCACTCTATCAAGATATATAGCTCGCGGTGCAGGGGCTCGCGGTGCACCGCCGACCGAGGTGCCCCCGCGAGTGCAGTCCAAGGACGGCCTCGGTGGCGGCGAGGCCCCAGCCATCCCGCCCGCCGCCGCCGAGCGCCGCGCGCCGCGGCCGCGCGCCGCGGCCGCCGATCCGAGCCGGCACGCGGATCGCCACGTTCAGACAGCGGCTGGCCTCCGTCGCGCGTGTTTCGCTCTCTGAGGGTCCTCTTGGGAGCATTTGGTCTGCACTGTTGGAACCGCCCCGGAAAACGAGGCAGGACGGACCCCGGGAGGGGTTTGGGGCTTGGTTTTGAGCGGATCTGGGCCGTGCGGGAGGGCTGCCTTTGTCTCCGTTGGCCCTCCTCCGAGATCGGCGCGCTGGCGATCAACGGCGGCCTCGAGGGTGCGGCCTTGTGCCTAATGTAGTGCTGTTGATTCATGGTTGCATGTGTTACACTCGCACCTGCGTTCGCATTCACATTTTCAAGCATCCACATACACACCTTTATTTCCGTACGGCAGGTTCGCGTCATGTCGATCGGCGGATACTCCGCAGCTGGCGTTCAACGTTGAACGCCGCCCGCGACCCAGAATCGGTCGGTGTTGAACGATCGGACGCTTCGGAAACGGACGATCGTTCGAGGTTGAACGATCCACGCGGTGTCAAAAACCAACGCCGAAGTCGGCACGACATGAATCCGCGGTACTTGCTTTACCTCCACGTAGTGCTCACACGATTCTCACTCATATCGATTTGCCCGCGGTACAGGTGACTTCTTATTATGTTCTTGAAGACGTGATCGATGTTGGTCCCGGTATGTGAGCGTACCCACATACGTTTGATGAACACAGCCCATATACATTGTATAGCATATCATCACATGTTCCAGGAACGTGTGTTGCATGTTATGTTGGCACAGTGCATCTCCCATGATCGTATCCGATGCTATCATGGTAGCACGTTACCAAGCGAGCGGAGGCGTTTCAGCAGGGAGGGGGGACGGGGGAGGTGGGGGTCGGCCGCCCTGATCTTCCCAGCGTAACCCGGACGGCGTATCCATGTCTTCGGCGCTCCCTCCAGCGCTCCCTCCCGCGAAGGGTGGCAAGGCCCCGCTTGAGACAATGCCCTTGACACAGTGCTAAGCATGCGCTGCGCCCCACGCGCCTGCGCCTTCAAAGAACATGCCCCAAGATGCACGGAAAATGTTTGTTACCATTATTTGAAGTGTCTGCCGTGCCATGCGCAGGGCCTGCGCTGGCAAAAACCAGTACCTGCGGTGCCTGCGCTAATGCCGCCATGCACAGGTGACGCATGCACCCCCGCGCAGGGCTGCGCCGACAAAAGCCAAGGACCGCGGTGACTGCGCCAAAGGCAACATGCAAAGGCGACGCATGCGCGCCATGAGTGGAGGCGCCTGCCGTGCATGCGCCCTGCCAGGCGCACTGCAATACGCCAGTCAAGAATGGGCCTGCGCGGCTTCCGATGGACAGCTGTGGACGCGACGATGACGGCGATGGCGATGACGGAATTCTCGCGACCCTGCTGCGCAGTCCTCTACGCTGCGCACCGTCGCTCGGGTCTCTCCCCAGAACGCGTGGCTTACCCATCTACCCACTGACCGTTGCTCAATCTCGGGCTCTGCTGCTGGCCTTTCTCGGGGCGCTTTACGCGGCTTCCCTCCCTCCCTGCTCCCCCGGCGGCCACGACGACGTCGAACTCCCTGCTCGGTGGCCTGCCGCCGCCAGCGCCCGAGCAGGCCGCGGGCCGAGGGGGATCGAAGATCGAGGCCTCCAAGAGGCGACGGGCGGCGGCGGCGGCGACGACGACGACGATGGCGGCGACCCATACCTCCGACGATGTGTTTTTTTCACTGCGCGGCCCCGGCCCATCCCCTGGGGCGAGCATCTTGCCCCGGAGCCGCTTTGGAGGGTCCCGGGGCCCGGTGATTGACGCGAGAGGCCGAGACCGGGGAGCAAGTCCCGGGAGTGAAGAGTGCATGCCGCCGGAGGTCTGGGAAGAAGCGTTGGTCGAGCGTGCGGCAATGGGCGGTCGCCCAAGATGGGGGGTGAAGAAGAGGCCCCACAGGAGCAGGGGTGAGCCTGAAAGGTGCTTCGGCGATTTCGTGGGCCGTTTTCGTTTCGATGTCGTTTTGCAGCAAAGGCGAATTCAAGACAAAACGAGGAAGAACGAAAGCAAAACGAAAAGGAAAAACACCGTTGAGGTGCAGCCCTGCAGAGGAGCCCTTTAGGGCCCCTTTGGGAGCCAGTGGGTGCTGCAGGAGGCGCCCTAAAGGGCCCCCTTTGGGGCCCTTCGCTTCACCCCCCATTTTGCGTCACCCCCCATTGCCGTTAAGTCCTGCCTGTCCCTCTACAGGGGGGAGATTCCAAAATAGTCAAAAATTAGTCTGGGGATTGTTTTGTTGAGTGTTTATGTTGACCATGTTCTGAGTATTTTGGGAGTATTTGTTTATTTCTCGTCCAAAATCCCCCTGTAGGGGGACACGCCCGAGGTAACATTACCGCCCGCCCGAGCCGGGGGGCGGCGGCGAAGACGGGGGCGGCGAGAGCTTCCCGCCACGGCCGCGCCGCACCCCTGCCCGCGGCCCTCCTCTGCTCAGGCGATCGCAGGCATGGATCAAGGGGGCGTGGAGTAGCGAGGGGTCCCGCTTCCACGGGAAATCGCGGATTGCCGCCGCCGAGCGAGGCGGCGCCGGCCGCATTCTGGGGAGGGCACCTCCCCCGATCCATGGATTTGGCGAACGCGCGCCAAATTCATGGATCGCTAATCCATGCTTGCGCGCCTCCGAGAAAGTGCATACAGCCAGAGTTCCGGGGGGGAAGCGCCGGGGAGCGGCGGCGAAGACGGCGGCGGCGAGCTCCCCGCCGCGGCCGCGCCGCACCCCTGCCCGCGGCCCTCCTCTGCGCCAGGGCGCCGAGCCGCAGAACCAGCCCGCGCCCCAGCAGGAACCAGATTCGTGCTGTTCCCATCGTACTTCAGGACCGCATCCCAGAAATAACTTCGAGCACCCAGAAGAGTGTCGAAACGATGTCGATAACGAGCATCGCCTCGCAGGGCCCGACAAGTGAAAACGTTCCAGTTTCGGTACTTTCCGGGTGCTCGAAGTTCTTTCTGGTGTTCAAGGCTAAAGTAGGTTGGACGAGAAATAAAACATATTCAAGAATAATCAGAAATACCAGAAAACTAATGCCACTATTTTTTACTATTTTTGAATCTTCCTCCTGTAGAGAGACATGCCCGACTCAACGCTTCCGCCTGTCGCCGCGGGCCGCGCCGGCGGCCCTCGCCAGCGGCCTCTGCGGGCCCCGGGGCCCAGTTTCAGAGGCAGGAGTCGTCGAATCCGGCTTGTGCAGGGGCTCCTGCGAGCGGGGCAGATGGCTTCGCGGGCTCATTGTTCGGGGTGGAGGGCAAGCAGCACGGGCAGCAGCGGGAGCAGGAATGAGCAGCTGGAGCCGCAGCCAATCTGACCCCGCTGACGGGAGCCTCCAAAACGACAATTGATTTAGGGGGGGTGCATCGACCCGAAATCGTCCCCTCATCGCCGACAGGGGCCCGATAGCCCACTCCGCCCAGGAACGTGCGGATTCGCCATCGGTGGCAGATCGCCAACCTATCGGCGACGTATCGCCGATTCCAGGGCGACGCTT